TTTTTTTTTTTTTTTTTTTTAATTTTCCATGGGGGAGGGCGCCAGAGCGTTCGCGACACGCCACTGAGATTCGAGGACCGTACAGTCCGCCCCCTTCCCAGATCAATAATACCATTCCCGTCCTCGGCGCATGTGCGCTCGAATATCTCCCCATAAGCGAACTGGTTTCCACCCCCCAGATGAACTACGCTCCGAACGCCTTGCACCCCTCCATGCAACATTCATAGCGCCATCAATATTATACGCGCGAAATAATAACCTGTGCATTTATTATAAGGGGAGGATGTTGTGGCTCGAGAGTTTCGTAAAAGAAAAAAAGAAGAGACAGAGAGAGAGAGAGAGAGAGAGAGAAAGATTCGGCGAAGAATGATAAATTATGCGTGTAAACTGTTATGCAAATCAATTGGTCGAGGGTGAGAGATCGAGGGAAATGATGGATCGATCTTCGAGAGAGAATTATTCCTAGGTGGAAAAGCGACGTTTGACGCGGAATTAATTGTCTCTGTTGCGCACGCAATTCTGTCGAGATTGATTAAGGGGGGTTGATCGATTCGATCTCTTCCAGAGAGGAGAATCAACGCGCCAATTTTTTTGCAACGCGAAGTATGCAATGCAAAGTTATTATAAAAGCGAACAAATCGATTCCCTGGCATGTTTCTGTCAAGATATTACACGAAAAGGTTACAGAACCATTTCTCGGTCGAGCTTTCATTCGTCGTTCGAGATATCAGCGGCACGAAGATAAAATGGGAACTCGAAAATGGCTCACCGACGATATGAAGAAATATTTAAAGAGGTAATCGTCGCCGATTTAACCGGGTTTAATCGATCGGAGGAGGAGCTNNNNTAATTAATCTCGCGATTAATCACCGATTCGAACACGAATCGTTTGCATTGTCCCANNNNAAAAAAAAAGACTTAAATAGGAGAAGACAAAAATGGAGGGAATAGGAAGAGAACGATAGAGAGAGGTCTATTCGCGTCGTAAAATCTTTATTACCGACAGATATCCCATGGAAAAAATTGTTCCCATCGCGCTTATGTAATCTCAGAATCCTCGAATTTCCTCGTACATATCCCCATTTTTCCTTTCATCCCTCTTTCCTCTTTCCCTCTTCTTCTCCAAATACGTCGTTTCGATCGTGCACAAATACCACCCCCTCATCCAGTTCATATTAATATATATACATACGCACGTAAATACGAATAATTTATGAAAAACGAGCTACTTGATTTTTCTCCTTTTTTCCTATCTTTTTAGCACGCATTTTTGGGGACCGGTGCTCAACTGGACGATACCCTTAGCAACCATATCCGACACGCGAAAGCATCCAAAAATCATTAGTGGAAGGATGACTTTCGGTAAGTTGAACTACGTTTGGCTACGCCAAAGATTCGTCGTTGAATCTTTTGGGGAGTTTAAGTTTCGCCGATCGTAATAATCGTATCACGATGACGATGGACCAAGAGAACGAAGACAACGAGGAGAGGTCGAGAAGAATGGCTTCATAAAATAATTGCCGAATTATCGTTTATTTCTTAATAAAGCTTCCATGAAAATATCGTGGTTAGGAAGTGAGGCTATCGTTTTGTGCACGACGATTTCGATTATGTTAGAGAAACGTGAAAATTTTCGCGCTCTCATTCAACTTGTTTCTCTTCTTTCTTATTAATCTTTCTTTCTTTTTCTCTGTCTCCTCCCTAGTTTGGTTTTATTTTTTTAGCGCTGGCTCTTTATTCCACGGTATTCATGAGATTCGCTTTGAAAGTGAAACCGAGAAATATGATGATGTTCGCCGTCCACTTCGTCAATACCTGTGCGCAACTTGTACAAGGTTATAGGTTTATCCAATACAATTATATCTCGCAAGAGTCTTATGAAGATCAAAACAAAAAATAACTTCGTATATTTTTAACTTATAATTATAGAAACTTTATTTAATATTATTTAATATTATTATAATTGTAGAGACATTTAAATTTAAATTTTTTAATAAAAGCTTTTTAATAAAATCCGATGATCAATATTTATTCGATATCGTTCTGTCAAATTTTTATATATATATAAATAAAAATATAGAGAAAAAAAATGTAAAATAACTATTTTTATTCGACTTAACAGGAGAATAATCAATAAATTTTATAAAAATCACTATTTCATGGAAAACTTCATTTTTGATTCTAGATTAAGAAAAAAAAATCTTACAAACACTTTTATAGCCTTCTTCAAAAATATATACATATAAATTCATTATAATTGAAACAGTTATCTGCTAAATCTGGCCAATTTAAAACTTGGTTAATTTGATCGAGAACAATTAACAAAATTAATGAAGATGTCAAAGAAAATCCTGCGTGAAATCAACCGATACTTCACATTTGTCCCCTCCCTGAAAATATATATATATATTTTTTCTCTCTTTTTCCCATATCGTATAGGACACTACAGTTTATTCGTGGTGGCTCCAATTCGATGAACGAATGTATAAGGAGAGGAATAATTTCCTGGGGGGTCGGCTGTCCTTCTCGTTTCCTTTCCCGCGTCTCAAACAAGCCGATTCGATCGAGGTTGGGGCGATTTTATGGGATCTGGCACGGATCAGAGGCACGAATCTATTCCGGTTTTTCCTAAATGCCTAAGCCGGAACGCTGCGACTCCGTTCCGTTTCTGCTCCTTGCATTTGGCCTGGGACGCGAAAGGGACACGTCCTCCCTCGCTTCCCTGAATAAATATATATAGGCTGATTAGCCCTGCTTGGCTTTCGATCATGCGTTCCTTCCCTTTGCATTCGGAGATGACGTCACGAATCGCATCCATCTCTAAGATCTTTAAATCTTCACAAAATATCGTCGTTCTCCTTCTATTCCAATGAAACGAAAACGGAATATTGAAACATCTCAAGATAATCTTGTCGTTTAAAGATAAAATTCATTTTCCTAAGTTAAATTGTCATTATATTATTTTTGATATAATATATATGGATTTAATTCGTCATCTTCACAAGGTAAAATTACAAATTATCTTCGATTATATATAATTATAATTTCGATATTATTATATGAATAGTAAATAAGTTAGTGTAATTTAGAGACATAGAGTCATTGAATTAATTTCAATGATTCAAATTCGAATCGAAACGTTTAATAACCGTTTCATAAACGTTTTCACGCTTTTCCTCGAAACATTTGGCCAATTTTCACGGAGGAGGCAGAGGCGGGACAAGGTCCAACAAGGGATGAGTCCTTCGGGACTGATTTCACAAACAAATGCCGACGATTGAATGCTGGCATGTCGCAAGATGGATCGCTCTCTTTGAATCACAGATTACCCGCCGCCTTCCTTCCACCTCGTCCTGCGGCCCACCTCCTTCCGC